GAGTGATAAGCTAGTCACTGAATTGCAACGACCAGAACAGGTTTCTAAGGTATTTAAATGGGAATTTTCAAAGCTGGTGGAGAGACTACAGGGTGTTACAGACAGCCCATGCTTCTCGGCTTCGGGGTTTGCTATATCTTCTGTGATCATATTAGGAGTACCAATTCATAGATTTTTATCTTCTTTTATAATTCTGGAGAAAAATTGTTAGTTTTGTAAATTTTCTTAAGAACAGATGTATGTATTTTACTAGGGCTCCATTGCATTAGAGCAGTTTAACTCAGTGGGATTTGTAAAATTTATTATCTCCAGGCTATTGGTGTTCAGAACTATCAGCTTTTTTTGTTTGTTTGTTTGTTTTTTTTTTTTTTTTAAAGCAACCTTTCTGACTGTCAGAGGGCAGGACTTGAAGTTACATTGGTTGATTCCAAAAGCTGACTTTTAATTTTTTTTTTTTTTTTAACCCAAAGAAAAAAAATAGTGTAAATTGTTAATAAACTCAAATTAGAGTGTTAATTTAGGATTAAGTACTGAAATTTTATGATTTATTTTCTGCTTAGCCTCACATGACTTGCAGGGAGAGGCTTGATCTGTGACTTCTCTAGTTTAAATGGACATTTTGGATCTTTTCTTTTTTCTTTGTCTTTTTTAAAATTAGTTGAATCATTTTACCACACAGTATAGTCTGCATGTATAGCTGGCAAACCACATATTACCCTACATTATAAATATAATGTACACTTACATTACTTTAAATATAAGCTATTTAAAGAAAGTTCATAGTTGTTTTTACCTACCTTTTAACTCCAAGTCAGGCTTCTTTTCTTTCAGAGAGAAATGCATGCTCTAATCTGACTTGCAAATGTTTGTAGTTTGCAGGTCTTTGTTGATGTTAACTCTAATTGTTAGGTAGACTTTTATGTTACCTGGAAAATTTTGGACATAAATTTAAATAAATTTGTGAAGTCTGTATATTAGGTGGCTTGACTGAATTTTTTTTCCTGTGATTGAACATAGGCTGCATTTTTTGAAAAGCCACATTCGCCTTTATGCTGGATTTTTAAAATTCCAATGCATAAGATATTTTTTCCTTTATATGTTAAACTTTTCTTAGCATTTTGTATTTATATGTTATCACTTTGTGATTTTAAACCATAATTCAGTTAAATATAGTTATAACATGTGAGAAATAGATTGGTCTTTATAAAAACAGGGAGAAAATTGGAATTTTCTTGTGTGTAAACATACTTTGCTTCCAGAATTCAGTATAATGTACCACATTCTGTGTTCAGACTAGTAAATCTTAATATAGTCAAATGTCTTCAGCATCTATATTGTGAACAATACTGAAAATTGCTTATGTTTTAAGGAGTGGGTATTTTAAAACATGTGACTTCTGTCTTAATGTAAGAATCAAAGGTATGCATAAAAATAGATTTGCCAATGTGCAACTTAAAGTCGAAAATCCAAGAAATTAGAAATACTGATTTTTTTTTTTTTCCGAGATGAGAGGCACATGGGGACTCAAATGAATCAATAAAAAGTAGTTAAGATATTTTATTCTCAGCATTGCTTCTTTGATGAATATGGGCTCCTGATTACATTTACATCTTGTTAAAATTTCAACCTGCAAGTTTGTATACTTTTTTAATTATCAGTGTTTGTTTTGTGCTGTGTGGGATTATTTCACTCCCGAAACACTCTAGTGTTGGCATATCCAACATATGTAGAAGTGAGTTTATTAGGTGCTACCCCCAAAGGTAGAATCTTGTGTACAAGAGTATGTTATCTCAAGTTGGCCATCAAAATCCATCACCCATCAGATTACCTTCAAAACAGTACATAATTCTAAAAATCTGTGAAAGAGCTGTTTTCACTTAATTGACAAGAAACAATATTAAGAACCTTTAAAATTTCCAGACTGATGGGAAAATTGACACTGACTTCATAATATTTATAATAGTTTTAACAATTAATTTGTCTTTTTATGTGGATAATTGTTATTTTCACTTGATTCAAAGAAAATCTTATCACTCATGTGGTGATTCTTTTAAAGCATCTTAGCAGGCTGATCTGTCTATTGATCCTGTCTACTGATCCAGAGAGATTTCTTCTCAACCCTGTTTTCACACTTCTATTGTGTATCAAGAATCTTTGCATGAGATGATGGGTCTGATTGAGCTGCTAGTGTCTCAGTTCCTAGTAACATAAAGAACAGGAAGTGGTATCACTAGAAGGAGGGGGGGGTCTATTTTTGTTTTGGACTCTGTCTTCACTGAACCACAACTAGTACTTGATTTCCAAGCTATTATTGGGAACAAGCTAGTCATCCCACCTATGAACTCATATCATAGCCTACAGTTTTCCACATGCAGACTTCATCAGAGCCCCCAAATTCATCATCTTATCAGGAATCCCTCAAAGAAACAGGCTCAGTCTCTACATTTATCAGTAGAGTCCTTAGCTGGAAGCTCCACTTGCAAATACTTGGATGTAAGTAGGCACACAAAATGACCAGGATACTTGTGCAGATGCTGAGCACTGGCCTCCAGTATCTACATGGTATATTTCACCTGATGCTGCCCAGGTTATCACTGTGTCTGAATCTCCACCATCTGGCTGTATTGTAGGTCAGTTCTTTATACTAAGGTTGGAAGCTAGATGGCAGAACTTCAGGTTCATGACAGCTCCTCACTCAGTCTTTATGGAAGTCCATGCCCATGTCAGTTTCCAACTTGTCAAAGAATCTTAGGGTCATTCTTGTTGTGTCCTAGAGAATGTGACTTGAAGCTCACCATTGGGCTGATGAGAGAACACATGCAGTCATATCTGGTGAAACATTGTTTCCTAGCTCCAACATGCATGAAAATGGAAGGCAATCAGAGGATAATGTTAGGAGTAGGCACAGAGACCCTTTTAAACTATGCAATTTTTTAACATTTGGATTCCATCTTTATTAAAATAATAAATAATAAAAGTAATAAAATAAGAGCTCTATCTGCTTTTATAATTAGAGGAACTGTGTTCCATTTCCAGCACCTGCATGGTAGTTCACAACTGATTGTTACTCTAGTTCTTGTCTGGCCTCTGCATTCAGTGTGCACAAGGTACACAGATACACATGCAGGCAAAATAAAAATAAAACCTCAAAAATTAAAATAATAAATTAGTTATAAAATTTAACTTTTATTGTTTATATTTAAGACTGACAATTCATACACACCTAGTAAAATGATTTTTACAGTTGCCATGATTGTGCCATGTCAGAAACACTGTCAAACATATTAATGTCAGAATTTATTTAATAACAGTAAATTCACAAGACATAGCAGTTTCAATGAAAGCATCTGAAGTATTCCTGTTTTTCCTTAGTACTCTTGGCTGACACGAAGTTTTTTCTTATTTTTGAGAACTTTATTAATTCTCAAATCACACATTATAAGCCACAGTAAATATATCTTGGTTAGGTTTCTATTGCTGTGATAAAACACCACGGACAAAAGCAACTTGTGGAAGAAGGTTTGTCTGGCTTAGGGATCACAGCCCATTGTTTATTGAAGCCAATGCATACCAACCACAGTTCCTCTCCCTTTTCTCTTCCTGCTCCCTCCCTCCCACCTCCCATCCACCATCCCTCCCTTCAGAAAGGGGCGGACTTCCCATGGGAGTCAACAAAGCAAGACACATCAAGTTGAGTGGGACCAAGCTCCTCTCCCTGCATCAAGGCTGGGTGAAGCATCCCACCATCGGGAACAGGTTCCTAAAAGCTCATGCACCAGGGACAGTCCTGATCCCACTGCTAGGGCCTAGATAACTCATCCGCATGCAGAGGCCCTAAGTCGGTCCCATGCAGGCTCCCTAGCAGTCGATCTAGAGTCCGTGAGCTCCCACCATCTCAGGTCAGCTGTCTCTGTGGGTTCCCCCTTTATGATCCTTCTTACTCGTAAAATCCCCTCTTCCCTCACTTCAACTGAACTCCGAGCTTGGCCCGGTGCTTGACTGGATCTCTGCATCTGCTTCCATCAGTTACTGAATGAAAGCTCTCTGATTACAATTAGGCAGTCACCAATATGATTACAGGAGAAGGCCAAGAACAAGTGCCCCGTCGTACTGCTTTCCTGTTTCACACATGACCATTGGCTTAGTGGTGGTACCGCCCCCAATGGGCTGGGTCCTCTTCTAACAATTTGCATTCAAGAAAATGCCTCATTGAGTTACCTACTTGTCAATCTGATAGACAGTTTCCCAATTGGGATTCCTCTTTCTAGATAACTTGTTACAGTTAACAAAAAACCCACAGGACTCATCCCACCCGCTCCCTGTGTAGGTTATAGAATGCCTGCAGAGGATTACAGAGGAAAGGCATTTAAAAGATGTCTGAGAAGGCAGAGCTGGGAAATGTAAAGGAGTATAGGAATGAGATTAAAAGAACCAGATGGAGGTCTGTGGAGAGAAGCTGCTGGTAATTGTAGGTCAGAGTTGATCTGTAGAGTTGAATCTAGCTGTATAAGTGAAATGGCAGAACTGGGACATGTCAGGTTGGAGAGATGGTAAGTACAGATAGACAGGTATCCATACCTTAGGCAGACAGCAGCTGAGAGGTAGAATCAACACTAGTGACTGAACTAAAGTCCCCGGAACATTAGGTTAGTCTGCCTGTCAGTCCCGGCTCAGAAGATTGCGAAGCAGGCGTTCCTGCACCAGTGACGAGACCCTCCTGAAACACGTCCATCGCCCGGCACCTCCCTCCGACCCTTAGTCCCGGGTACTTTAGGCCTGCCAGGTGCCAGCCTTATCTATACTGCCATTTTGCCCGTGCACGCGCAGGCACTGCACGGAAAGGGGAGTGCAGACAGCGCGCTATTGGCGGGACGGGGAAGGACTGTCTGTGTTGACCAATGGCATGTGAGAGCTGCACGCCGCAGTCCCTTCTGGGAACGTATCAATTGCCGCTTCGATTGGGCGTCTGCGGTCGCGGAAGCTTCAGACAGAAAGAACCTACGCGGTTGAAGCTGCGGCAATGCTGCTGTTCTGTCCGAGCTGCGGAAACGGACTAATTGTGGAGGAGGGACAGCGTTGCCATCGCTTCGCCTGCAACACTTGCCCCTATGTGCATAATATCACACGCAAGGTGAGTTCCAGAGGCAAGTGCCGCCTCGGTTGTCCGCGCGCTCAGACTTCCTGCCGGCAGTAGTTTTTTTTTTTTTTTTTTTCTGCTCTGGCTGCGGCGGTACCTCAAGTCCAGCTGTTGGTAATCCAGTGGCGTTGCTCCGGCCAAATCGAAGCCACTCCTGTGGTCACTAAAGAGATTTCTGCCTCTGGCTTTCTGCAGCCAGTTTTGTGACACCCAAAAAGTTGCAAGAATGTCCGTTCATACCTCTAGGCTGAACCACGCCTTTAAAACCCCCATGCTGTCCTCCAGTCGGCGGCTTATCACCTTCTCTGATCTCAAATCTTAATATTGTTTTTGTAGCTATTGGAGGATCTTACCGTGCACGCGGTGCTGTTAAGTCCTTCACGTTCCTTTCGCCTGAGTCTGTCTTTCCGAACGACCCATTTGGTGCTCTCTGTAGTTCTCTCTCTCTCCTTTTACTTTATCTCTCCTCTTTTAAAATAATGATTATCCTATTTAAATTCCAGCCCTTTTGACTATTGGTACATGCCTATAATTCGATCGTTTGGAGAGGCTGCGGCAGATTAAGATAAAGGCTCACCTGGGCATATATAATATATATATATATATTATCAAAACCCAGCTTTTCTAGTTCATCCTCATTCCTTTCCCTCTCTTTTCCAGGACTCATTGTCTTCTAATATATGCCATTGTTGCTGCTTTTGTGTGTGTGGTGCTTGTGTTGGAACCCAGAGAGCTGCTTTTTCAGCCCTTGGTGTTTTGTCTATCTTTCAGTTCTTGTTCCTCCTTACCTCGGTGTCCTGAGTTGTGTGATTTCAGATGTGCATCACCAGGCCTTGGTGGTACCTCATTTTCAATGTTTGCACTTTAGAACTGTATGGTAGGAGTTTGGAATCTGGATATGTGGTAAGGTTGAATGGTGACATAATTTTTGAAATTTGAAGGATGAGAGAACAATGAAATGTGGCCTGGGGAATGCTGGGATACCCAGATAAATGGTGCTATTAGTCTTTTTTACTGTCTTTCATGTTGGATTATTAGATATCTTAGGGGTATAAGAGAAGAGCAGGGTTTAACTCAGCTGTCTTTTCTTCCTGCTCTGTATGGTGTGTCCTCCAGGTTCTAGGGGGTCTCTGACATTGAAATTCTGTGCTGTTTTGGGAATATCCCGAACCCTTATGTTTTAATGGCTCTTGCCTCACTTTGAAGAAGATAAATTTTGTATACATTTACTGAATTGAGGAAATACTGGAGGGAAGTTATGGTTTGGTGGCCCACTTTTAAAACTATATGATTACTTGAAATCTGATGGCTTGTTTTTGTTAGGTAACAAACAGAAAGTATCCAAAGCTGAAAGAAGTGGATGATGTGCTTGGTGGAGCAGCTGCCTGGGAGAATGTAGACTCCACTGCAGGTGAGAATTTTCCCCATTACAGAGCCAATGACTCAACCCTGTTTATTATTACTTATTATTATACTTAATGAATGTATTATATTTGTTATAATGCAACCCTGTATATTGTTAGGACCAGTGAGATGGCTCAGCAGGTTAAAAAAAAAAAAAACACTTGTTGCCAAACCTGTTAACCTGAGTTTGATCCTTGGTGTCCAGATAGTATAAGAGACAGCTGACTCATGAAAAGTTGTCTTCCAACTCCCCATCCCCCCATAGGTATAAAGGAATTAAAGAAAATATAAATAATAAAATAATGATAAATAGCTTATGTTTGCCAATACAGGAAATATTTGATATATTATAGTCACAATAGTCATTCTTTAAACTCTAAGCAAGGCATTAAGACTTTTTTGTTTGTTTGATTTTGTGTTTTGAGGGTTTCTCTGTGTAGCCCTGGGTGTCCTGGAACTCTCTCTGTAGACCATGCTGGCCTCGAACTCAGAGATCCACGTGTCTGCCTGCCATGGGGATGTGCTAGGTTTAAAGGCATGTACACTGACTGGCCATATTAAAAATTTTTAAAGCATATCTTTTTTTCAAGGATTAAATATAATGAAAGGAAAATCACCGTATTGATACTGCTCTGTTGTTTCATTTAGATTCTCCAGGTCAGATATGGATAAGTATAATTAAAAATGTGATACATATTCTCTTTTTGAAAATCTTATTTTACATATTCTCCCATTCCCCCCACTATCTCCTCATCCCACCTCCTATCTCAAAATAAAACAGAAGCCTCTACTCATTTTCCACTTTCAAGGCTTTTGTTTAATTTTGATATAGAATCTTGCTGTGTAGCCTAAGCTGGCCTTGTAGCAAAGCCTCATGCCTCAGTTTTTTTTTTTTTTTCCCCTTAGTTTTTTTTCTTTCAAAAATCAAGTGTTCCTAGGTGTATGGGTTAATATCAGGGTTTTCAATTTAATTCTATTGGTCTACCTGTCTATTTTTATGCCAATACCAAGTTGTTTTCAGTACTATAGCTCTGTAATAGAGCTTGAAGTCAAGGATGGTAATGCCTGTGGAAGTTCCTTTATTGTACAAGATGGTTTTGGCTATCCTTGGTTTGTTTTCTATATAAAGTTGAGTATTGTGCTTTCCAGGTCTGTGAAGAAATGTGCTGGTATTTTGATGGGGATTGCATTGAATCTGTAGATTGCTTTTGGCAAGATTACCATTTTTACTGTGTTGATCCTATCTATCCAAGAGCATGGGAGATCTTTCCATTTATCTTCTTTAATTTCTTTCTTTAAAGACTCAAAGTTCTTGTCATACAGGTCTTTCACTTGTTTGGTAAAGGGTGATATTTCTCTGATTTCTTTCTCAGTCCATTTATTGTCTGTATATAGTAGGGCTTCTGTTTTTTTGTTTTTGTTTTTTTAGTTTACCTTGCATCCTGCCACTTTGCTGAAGGTGTTTATCAGCCTTAGGAGTTCCCTGGTAGAATTCAGGGTCACTCATGTAAACTATCATATCATCTGCAAATAGTGAAAGTTTTACTTCTTCCTTTTCAATTTGTATCCCCTTGATCTCCTTTTGTTGTCTTACTGCTCTAGATAGAATGTCAAGTACCATATTGAAGAGATACAGAGAGAGTGGACAGTCTCATCTTGTTCCTGATTTTAGAGCAATCACATTGAGTTTCTCGCCACTTAGTTTGATTGGCTGTAGGTTTACTGTATATTGCTTTTATTATGTTTAGCTATGTTCCTGTTATCCCTGATCTCTCCGGGACCTTTGTCATGAAGGGGTGTTGGATTTTGTCAAAGGCTTTTTCAGCATCTAGTGAAATTATCATGTGGTTTTTCTTTTTCAGTTTGTTTATGTGGTGGATTACATTGATAGATTTTCATATGTTGAACCATCCCTGGGCTGAAGCATTACTTGATCATGGTGGATGATTTTTCTGATGTGTTATTAGATTTGATTTGCCAGTATTTTATTTAGTATTTTTGCATCAATGTTCATGAGGGGGGATTGGTCTGTAGTTCTCTTTCTTAGTTGTGTCTTTGTATGGTTTGTACAAGGTAATTGTAGTCTCATAAAAAGTTTTTGCTTAGTTTCGTAAGTGCTAGTATTATAGCATACTAGGCAGGTATTTTTGTTATAGTCTTACAAAACAGACTATAGTAGATCCTTCCCATGCTATGCTTCCAGCCAATCTTCAACAAAATTTGGGAAAGGAAGTGGGACCAGGGAAGTACTTTCAAAGCACAGTTCTCCCCTGGTCCCCTTAGTATTGGTGTGCTGTAGGTAGGAGGTTGCTATTAGCAAAGAAGTCAGAATTAGCATGGAGATGAGATGTTTACCCACACTTACTTGTTTTTCTCTTTGTCAGAACCATGTCCAAAATGTGAACATCCCCGTGCCTACTTCATGCAGCTTCAGACCCGTTCTGCAGATGAGCCAATGACCACCTTCTACAAGTGCTGCAATGCTCAGTGTGGACATCGATGGAGAGACTAAGGGCAGGACTTACCCAGCTTGCAAGCATAAATTTTGTGTGTTGAAGGTCTTTGCTGTATGATAGGAAGCTAACTCTGTGGTGGAGGACCAGGGTGAAACAGGCCATCTGTAAGTCAGCAGATAAAAGTCCTTAATGTACAGGGACCTCAGGTCCTTGGGAAATACACATGAAGATATTCACTTGGCTTCAGGTCCTGTTCATTCTTCCTTTGTGTTTAGTAGGTAGGTGATAGTTCCTTACTGTCATTAGTCCTAGAAACTTGAACCTCCTATTCTTCCTGCTTCTGTCTCAAAAATGTTAGGATGATAGGCATTTGAACCATCTTCATTTTATACATTGCAGGGGATTGAAATCTGAGCCTCAGGCATTACTAGACAAGTACTCTGCCAAGTGAGCTATATCTCTAGCCATTTAATTTTTAAAATTCTATTTTTTTCTCTCTAGAGAAATTATAAAAATACCCATAAAATTTTTGAAAAGCACTTTAAAATTCAGGAGACTGACATGATATATCTTATGATTAACAACTAAACAAACTGTTTTATGATTTGGATTGTCTGCATGATGTTGATAGGGATTTAAAAGTAACCAAAAATATTTTATATTTCCATCTAGGGGGAATGATCCACAATAAAGCCTGTGCCTACCATGTTCAAAGGCCTGTGTTTGAACCCCATTCAAAAATCTATTAAAACTTCAATAAATTTAGAAAAGTTACATATTTATTGATACCACTAGTAAGATTACTCTTTATAGTGAACATATTTTTCTACATTTGAAGTTCTGATCCCTTCCATGCAATTGGACAGTCATATATGTGATAAAGACTACAGATAGTAAGGCATGAGGGAGCAGGAAAATTGAGTTGGGGGAAGAATATAGGAGAGCAAGAAAAAAGATACCTGAATAGAGGGAGCCATTATAGGTTTAAAGAGAAATCTGGAACTAAGGAAATGTCCAGAGACCTACAAAGATGACTCCAGCTAACAATCTAAGCAATGGTGGAGAGGCTTCCTTAAATGACCTTCCCTGATAATGAGATTGATGCCATCCTAGAGCTTTCACCCAGTAGCTAATGGAAGCAGAAGCAGACACCCACAGCTAACACTGAGCTGAACTCTAGTTGCAGAGAGGGAGGAGTGATGAGTAAAGGGGTCAAGGCCAGGCTGGAGAAACCCACAGAAATAGCTGATCTGAACAAGGGGGAGCTCATGAACCCCAAACTGATAGCTGGAAAACCAGCATAGGACCAACGCAGACCCCCTGAATGTGGGTATCAGGAGGCCTGGGCAATCTATGGGGCCTCCAGTAATGGATCAGTATTTATCCCTAGTATACAAATGGACTTTGGGAGCCCATTCCCCATAGAGGGATACTCTCTCAGCCTAGAAACATGGGGGAGGGGGACAGGGGCTAGGCCCTGTCCCAAATTATGTGACAGACTTTGGAGTTCCCCCATGGAAGGCCTCACCCTCCCTGGGGAGCAGAAAGGGGATGGGATAGGGGGTTAGTGAGGGACAGGGGAAGGGGGGAGGGAGGGAGAACTGAGATTGACATATAGAAAAAGCTTGTTTCTAATTTAAATTTTAAAAGGAGGAAAAAAATAAAAAAAAGTGCACATAGTAAGGAGATCTAAAACAACAGTGTTCTTCTATGAACATAGCACCTTTGACATTTTCAAAGTCCTCAAGTGGAGAGAAATGGATGAGTAATTCACAAAAGCTGACTTTGAAATCTTTGATCTATGGTTGTTTTCAAGCCTTTGGAACTTCACTGATATCTCCTTTCGGTAACTCTATTACAAAGGAGAGCCACACATTCGCCTTTGAATGAGAATGTATGTGAGTATTAGATCACTTGCCTAGAATATGACAAGTTGTGGGCTCAATCCTTGGTACTGGATGACAGGTGTTGGGGAGAATCATAATTTTTACTGTTGGTAAGGGTTGGGGCATTGTCACATTACTGGTGAGAGTAGAAGTCAGTACAATAGTTTCTCAGGGCAGTAAGGCAGTGGCTATGAGTATTTTAAAATGCTACCCAAGGCTGACACAGACATGCAGAAGCAGGGGTATTGGAAGGTTCAGGCTATCCCGTCAGTGGCAGCAGGAGGTAGAAGAGGGTATAGAGCTCCATACTGCTGCCTGTCTCAGCTCCAGTTCTTTTAGTGAATTTTTGTCAGTGATGCTGGGATTCTGGACTATGCCACAGAAAAGAATTTCAGGACAACTAGGTATGAAGTAAGTCAAGTGTCTTAATGATAGCCATGATTTGGGTGGCTTTTTAACAGGATTGTTCAGTAAACCTCCACCCTATTCCTCCTTTTTTTGTATTTGTTAAATGAGATCATAGGATACTTTCTTAAGTAGCAAGGGTTCAAGCAGTTCCTAATATACCAGGTTACAAGTGGTTAAGACATACCTTTTGACTGTTGACAAAGAAACATTACTAAATCTGTGAGTTTTAGGCTTAAAACTGGGAAAAGTCAAACTCAAGGTCATCTGGTTAGTGGGGTTCATCAGTGTTAACATTCTCAATTGAAATCTCCATATAGAATAACTGTTGATTGTGTAGGCAACTTCCATTGCTTTGCAATTTACAACTCTTAAGTTTGACTTTTCACAACCAGATTTAATTTGTTCTGTTTTAAAAATATATATTATTGTGTATGTATGTGGTCAGGGGTGGTGGTGGATACATGTCACAACACTCATGTGGAGGTCAGAAGGCAATTTTGTGGAGTTAGTTATCACTGTATGGCTTTACGTTGATTCTTACCCACTTACTTCATTTTCTCATCGCTCCCCTGACTTTTTATCCTACCATTAAACCTTGATTATATAATGAGATTTTTGTCTCAAAAATAAAAATTAAGCAAGAATTTTGTCTATAAATCAAATTACCACCAAAGAAAGAATATTGGAAGCAGAAAAGAAAAAAAGATCTTTATCATACAAGGATCCATAATAAAGACTACCAATAGATTTAATAGAAGAACTTTGGACAATAAAAGAGGGGGTAACTCAGGGTTAGGTTAGGGGTTTAGGGTTGGAGTTAGGGTTAGGAATTTAGTATTGGGGGTTAGATTTAGGGTTGGCATTACACTTACAGGGTTAGTGTTAGGTGTTTAGGAGGTTAGGGTTAGATTGGCTTTCGGGTTTTGGTTAGAGTGGATTAGGGTTAAGTGTAAGATTGGGTTTAGATGAGTTAGGGTTACAGTTAGGCTTAGGTAATAATTACAATTACGCTAGAATTATTTTTAGGTTTAGGGTTATGATTAAAGCTAGAGTTAAAGTTAGGTCTAGAGTTTGTTAGGATTAGGGCTAGGTTAGAGTTAGATGGGATAAGGCTAGGGTTAGTATTGGGTCTAGATGGGTTAGGTTATAGGGTTAGGGGTTAGGGTTAAAGGTGTGTGCCCAGATTCTATGGCTTGTGGTTGTCTTTGCTTTCTGAATCCTCAGGCAAGCTTTAATAAATCATAAATAATATATCACTACACAATGTTTTCTTTCAATAAACATTAGATTGTTTAATTGTTCTGGGAATGAATTACATCCACAGTGGCAGGAAACTAATAAACCGGTTTTGGCATAAGGGCTTTGATAGGTCCCTCGAGATATTCCAGTGGCAATACAGTAGTCCTTAAACTTATTTTACTTCTGTTCCATATCAGGTGGCTCTCCCTGACATGAGATAGGTTTTTTATTTTTCTTTAACAAGCTTGCTTGGAGAGAGCCACACTCCAAAGCTAGCTTTAATCTTTGATTAGACTGGGACTGTAAAAGAACCATTTGCATTATGACTGTAGAGAAAATTGAACTCCAAAGGAAATGCTAAATAAACAGAAAGAGATGATAAAGAACCTAAAAAATAGATTAGATAATGCTTTATTAAATTTGAATTTTCTGAATGCTAATGAGAAAGGAACAACAGCTGCAGAGAGACATTGGATAATAGAAAAACTACAGAATTAAACCAGCCGATATACTTTTAAAATGTCTTGACCTCCGAATGGAAATCAGGATATATGTTATATTGGGGAAGACATTTTGCTTTTGCTTCCACAGGTGAAGAAAAGTTATGGATACCATCAAAATTGATAGAAATTTGATTTGAACAAGATACCTCTTAATTAGAAAGAGATGATAGTTCATCAAGCAATATGGCATTTAATCTAAAGTAATCCATAAAATTAACAAATGTTTTTCATTTGATCAGATATAACTTGCCAAAGGAGAACCTCCCCAAAAATTTAGGACTGGGGAAGGGTTTTATTTTTGTCTTTTCAGGAGAATAAAGATATCCATCTAAGGAATCAGGAGACCACTGGACAATTGAGACATCTGAAGAAAAGGGACAAATAATCTGGAAAAAATAATGGCTCAAGAAAGGGTGTTAATTGGTCTATTGGTATATCACATTTCCAACAGGATACAAGTTCATAAATCTTCCCAAATGTCTTGCCTTTGCATATCATAGATACCTTCTTCTAAGGTATAAAATAACCCACACTGCAGAGAAACACTATGGATGTAATCAATGTGGGAATGCCTTTTTCAGAACAAACAACCAATTTCCTAAAAGAACACATACTAAACAGAAGTCCTAAGAATTTAATCAATGTAGTAAACCTATGCACATAATTTAGTCTCTTAATACATAAAACAACCCATAATGGACAGAAACCTTATGAATGAAATCTATGTGGGAAAACCTTTTTTAACAGAGTCCTCCAAAATCATTAAAGAAGCCATTCTAGGCAGAACTCCTATTCATGTAGTCACTGTGTTAAACAATTTATACATAGCACTGTTCTCCAAACACATACTACATAGATGCCCTATGAATGTAATCGGCGTTGTAAAGTGTTTGACAACACTCATTTCCAAATTCATTTTTAGAACTCATATCAGAGAGAACTTGTATAAATGTAAATAATGTGGTAAAACCTTTGCATATCATAATAATCATTTTAAGTTATATAATAACCCACCCTTTTAGAGAACCCCTATGAATATTATCAATGTGAGAAAGCCTTTACACATCGTAGTACCCTCCTAAGGAATAAAATAACCCACGCTGGAGAGAAAACCTATGAATGTAATCAGCGTGAGAAAGCCATTCCCAAAGACACTGATCTCCAAATTCATAGAGTAGCCCACACTGGAGGGAAATCCTATGAATATAATCAGTGTGAGAAAGACTTTTCACAAGAAACAATCTTTTTCGCAAAAGAACCCATAGTAGAGAGAAATCTTGTGAATTTTATCACAGTAATAAAGCCTATGTGTGTAATATATTAATTCTTATGCATAAAATAACCCACACTGGAGAGAAAACATGACTATAATCATAGTGGTAACGCCTACGCATACAAGTCTCCCATTGCATAAAATAACCATACTGAAGACAAATCCTATGAATGTAATC